GTTTTCCTGCTGGGCGGTGGGCGGTGAAGCGGCTTATGGGGCTGAGCAGCTTCCGGCAATTAGAACGTGAGGGGGCGGGGCTAACGGAGGTGGGCGTGGTCACCGAGGGGGCGTGGCTAACATCGGTGGGTGTGGCTAACGTCGGGGGCGGGGCTAACACGTGGGGCGGGGTGGGCACGAAAGGGCGGGGCTAAACCGAATGGGGAGGAGCAAAGAGAAGGGATTGGCTAATCTGAGGGGCGGGGCTACCGAAAGGGGAGGGGCTAAAGCAGGGATTGGCTAGCCTGAGGGGCGGGGCTATCGAAAGGGGAGGGGCTAATTCAGGGATGAGTTTATTTAAAGAGAGAGGCTAATCTAAAGGGGCGGGGCTAATCTAAAGGGGCGGGGCTAATCCAGGGGGCGGGGCTGTTTCGTATATTGGCTAATTGGAGGGGAGGGGCGAATCCAAGGAGGGGGTAAATGAAGAGATTTGGTTAATCTAAGGGGCGGGGCTAATCCATGGGGCGGGGCTAATCCAAGGGGCGGGGCTAATCTGGGAAGAGCCCAATCCAAAGGACCGTGCTAATCCAGGGGGCGGGGCTGTTTTGTGTATTGGCTAATAGGAGGGGCGGGGCTAATCCAGGGGGCGGGGCTGTTTTGTATATTGGCTAATCGGAGGGGAGGGGCTAATCCGGGGGGGGGATAATACAAGGAGGGGGTAAATGAAGAGATGTGGTTAATCCAGGGGGCGGGGCTAATCCGAGGGTGGGGCTAATCCAGGGGGCGGGGCTAATCCAGGGGGCGGGGCTAATCCTGCAGTGCAGCCCTAGGGGTTTGTCTGAGCCAGGATTACGCCGACCTCCGCCCCCCCCTCCTGCCCCCTCTGCCCCCGCAGCCATGGACATCGGCGGCTTGGAGACGGTGGTGGCCAACTCCGCCTACGTGTCGGCGCGGGGCGGAGGGCCGGGGGGCTCAGCCCGGGACCGGAAGCATCGCGCCCGCCTGCGCCTGCCCCACATCTCCCAGTGCGAAGCCCTGCGAGCCCGCCTGGCCGGCGGCGGCCTGCAGAACGGCGTGGCGCAGCAAGATGGCGGCCAGAAGCAAGATGGCGGCCAGAAGCAAGATGGCGGCCAGAAGCAAGATGGCGGCGGGGAGGAGGAGGAGGTGTCCTTCCGGTGGCAGTGCGTGGAGCAGCCAATCGGAAAGCGGCTTTTCCGGCAGTTCCTGCAAGCCACGCCGGGATTGGCTGCCGCCGGGGCGCTGTGGGAGGAGCTTGAGGCCTTCGAGTGCTGCGAGGAGGGGGAGAGGAGCGCGGCGGCCGCCAACATCCGGAAGAGGTTCTTCACCGACGGAGGGGCCGAGCACTGCGGCTTCCTCAGCGCCACCGCAACAGCGCCGCCGGCGGGTGAGTCCTCCTACAGCCAGCATCGGTCCTCCAGGGGCGGCCATGAGTCCTCCAGGAGCAGCCATGAGTCCTCCAAGGGTAGCCATGAGTCCTCCAGGAGTAGCCATGAGTCCTCCAAGGGCAACCATGAGTCCTCCAAGGGTAGCCATGAGTCCTCCAAGGGTAGCCATGAGTCCTCGAAGGGTAGATATGAGTTCTCCAAGGGCAGCCATGAGTCCTCCAATGGTGGATATGAGTCCTCCAAGGGCCATGAGTCCTCCAATGGTAGATATGAGTTCTCCAAGGGCAGCCATGAGTCCTCCAAGGGCAGCCATGAGTCCTCCAATGGTAGATATGAGTCCTCCAGGAGCAGCCGTGAGTCCTCCAAGGGCAGCCATGAGTCTTCCAATGGTGGATATGAGTCCTCCAAGGGCCATGAGTCCTCCAATGGTAGATATGAGTTCTCCAAGGGCAGCCATGAGTCCTCCGAGGGTAGCCATGAGTCCTCCAAAGATGCCATAAGTCCTCCAAGGGTAGATATGAGTCCTCCAAGGGTAGATATGAGTCCTCCAAGTGCAGCCATGAGTCCTCCAAGGGCATCCACGAGTCCTCCGAGGGCATCCATGAGTCCTCCACGTCTCCTTCCTCCTCCAGGAGCCCCCACGCCTCCTCCAATTTCTCCCACGACGCCCCCAGCACCCAACCAACCCCCCCCTCCCCATTTCCCTTAGGTCCCGGCACGGCGGACGACTTCAGCGCGGCCCTGGGCGAGCTGCTGTCCCACCTGGAGCGCTCGGCCTGGGCTCCGTACGTCTCGTCGCCGCACTTCGGCCGCTTCTCGCAGTTCAAGTGGCTGGAGGCCCAGGCCGTGGGCGCCGACGCCTTCGCCGATTTCCGAGTGCTGGGCAAAGGCGGCTTCGGCGAGGTGTGCGCCTGCCAGCGCCGCGCCACCGGCAAGATGTACGCCAACAAGAGGCTGAACAAGAAGCGGCTCAAGAAGCGCCAGGGATACGAGGTGCCGCGTCCGTCTGTCTGCCTGTCCGTCCGTCCGTCCGTCCGCCCGTCCGGCTGTCCGTCCTTCAGCCCTCTGTCCGCTCGGCTGGCCGCCCGCCCGCCCGCACGCGGCGCGATGTTCTCACTTTCCCGGCTCTGTTTTCTTCCCCTGCTGCTTTCCCTGCGCTCTGTGTTCCTCCCGTGTCCTTCCCGTGTCCTTCCCATGTCCTTCCCTTCCCGTGTCCTTCCCGTGTCCTTCCCTTCCCATGTCCTTCCCATGTCCTTCCCATGTCCTTCCCTTCCTGTGTCCTTCCCGTGTCCTTCCCTTCCCGTGTCCTTCCCGTGTCTTCCCGTGTCCTTCCCGTGTCCTTCCTGTGTTCTTCCCATGTTCTCCTCCTTTTTCTCCCCCATGTTCTTCCTATGTTCTTCCCATGTTATTCCAGTTCTTCCCATGTCCTTCACATGTCCTTCCCGTATCCTTCCCGTGTTCTCCCCTGTGTTCTTGTTATGTTCTTCTCAAGTTCTCCCTGTATTCTTCCCATGTTCTTCCTATGTTCTTCCTATGTTCTTCCCACATACCTCCCATATTATCCCCATGTTCTTCCTATGTTCTTCTAGTGTTCTCCCTGTGTTCTCCCCATGATCTTCCCATGTTCTTCCCACATGCTTTCCAGATTCTCCCTGTGTTCTCCCCATGTTCTCCCCATGTTCTTCACACGTGCTTGCCAAATTCTTGCCATATTCCAACCATGTTTATGCCATGTTCTTGCTGTGTGTGCATGCATGCACTGTTCTTCCCATGTTCGTGCTGTGTTCTTCCCTTGTGCTTGCCATGTTCTTATCATGTTTGTGCTGTGTTCTTATCATGTTCATGTTGTGTTCTTACACGTGTTTGCCATGTTCATCCCACGATGCTCAACGTGTCCTTGGCGAGCTTCTCTCTACCACCAGCCGCGTGTCCTCGGCCTTCCCTTCACGTGTCTCTGGCATGTCCTTGACATGCCCTTGGCGTGTTCTTGGCATGTGCAGGCAGCCCTGGTGGAGAAGCGCATCCTGGCGCGGGTGCACAGCCGCTTCATCGTCTCGCTGGCCTGCGCCTTCCAGACCAAGACCGACCTCTGCCTCGTCATGACGCTGATGAACGGCGGCGACCTGCGGTAAGCGTGTGCTTGGCATGTCCTTAGCATGTTCCTAGCACGTGCATAACGTGTCCTCGATATCACGTCCTTAGCGTGTCCTTGTCACTGTGTCCTTAGCGTGTTCTCAGCATGTGCACGGCACGCCCTTGGCATCATGTCCTTAGCATGTTCTTAGCATGTTCTTGTTGTCGTGTCCTTAGCACGTTCTTAGCATGTGCATGGCATATCCTTGCCGTCCTGTCCTTGGCTTTGTGCCGTCGGCGTGTTCTTAGCATGTGCACAACACACCCTTAGCGTGTTCATAGTGTGTAGCTACCGTGTCCTTGCCGTTGCGCCCTTAACGTGTTGTTGGCGTGTTCTTGGCGTGTCAGCTACCACGTGTACAACGTGGACGAGGAGAACCCTGGGTTCCCAGAGCCGCGGGCCGTGTTCTACACGGCGCAGATCCTGCTGGGGTTGGAGCACCTCCACCAGCACCGCATCGTCTACCGGGACCTCAAACCCGAGAACGTCCTGCTGGATGATGCTGGTGATGTGGGGATGGATGGACAGGGGGACGGGGGGACGGGGGGACAGGGGGCCAATGGGATATGGGGACATGGGGAGGTGGGGAGGTGGGGGAATGGGGACACTGGGGACATGAGGATATGGGGAC